CTGTCACTTTTGTTTTGGCACTAAAAAAAAAACTCTTATGAAGTTGTTTCAACTGCTGGACCCACATTCTTATTTTATCATCTTTATGTATCAGATAGTGTTTAAAATGTGTAAATAATATGATTCTGTGGCTCTTCCTGAGGTTTCTTACACTTTCCCCCATTAGTGGGGTTTTTCTTACCTGAATCGAGGGTCTAAGGACAGAAGGTGCTAAATGTTCAGAAAGTGTAATTTGTGACTTTGTAAAATCAGATTTGATTAACCCACTAATCTGGAGAGATTAAGAGTTTGACCCCCGTCTGCTCTGCTCTCTTCACACCGACTGTCTAAACACACAGTGATGCATCATGTGTTTGACAATTTATTGACATAAGATGTGGTACTGTGACAATAACAAATCATTTACAACAGGGTTACAGCAATGATGCTAGAATATTCCATTTAATGAGACACTCTCTTTCTCGCTCTCTCTCTCTCCATACATTCTGTATTGCTGGCAACAGTTTTGTATATACTTCTATATGTGGGAGTGCTTGAAAACAATGCTGCTTAAAAAAACATATGAGATCTACAACAGAGACATGAAGTTATTGGTTTTAAATGGAGCAAATACACAGATGAAAAAGGATCAAATGAGCTCATGCAGGCACATATTTTTACATTACCATGTAGGAAAATAGTGTCACCAACACAAGTGATACGATGAAAAAGCCTTTTCTGTTGGATAGAGACGAGGCTTCATTTCATTTTCAGGGTAATACCAAGACATTTTCATTTATTAGCTACACAAACTACACCATCACTGGACTAAACTGCACTAGAGCAACTCTGGGCCTTAGGGTGTATGCACTCTAATGTCCTATAGCACAAACAACGCCAACATCAGAAGGTTATATTGACACTGGGGTACTAAAACATAAGCTTGGCATTTAATGTGAGTGGATGCTTGGTCCTGCGAGATTGGTTCGGCTGACTTGCCACAGGTTTAAACTGGCTTGACAACAATGAACAACGAAAGAAAACGGTGAAAACATTTAAAGCATGTTAAAGAATCGAAGCTACTGCGACAATAAAGCCAGTTAAAAAAAAGGAAACACGCAGAGGTAGATGCACAATAAATAGGAATGAAAATATAGGTGTATAAAGCCGTGTACAACTACGTGGTTGCAGTAAACGGGGCTATTGCAAAAAATTACATGTGAAATGAATCAGCAAATGTCATTCTTAAAACGGAGTGGCACTGGTGTGTTAACACGTAATCAATAGCTGCTGTGGGTGTGTAGTGGTTCCAAGCTAATGAGCAAAGACTTGGCAATTTTCCCAAAAGAATTTAAACAACCGTACTGTGCGTTACCAGTCAGAAGCTTCTGGACCGACCGACTGTCTGCCTCCGTACACTTTTATAATGACGTCAGTGTTTTTTTTTTAATTTGACTGTTAAAATGCTTTAAAAAACAAAAAGCCAAATATTCTAAAGTGGAAAAGATGGAGTGCAAATAAAGACAAAAAACAAACAAAAATATAACTCACAACATAACTTTAGAGTTAATAATGCTCTTACTTCTCTGGTCTGCGTTTTCTTTTTTCCAACTTTTTGGAATCTCACTTTTTTTAAATTCCTGTACAAAGTTTCATACTACATACTGTACGTGGCTCAATGTGATGTGGGATATTTGCCAATGGAGCATGTCTCAAGAACTTATTGTAACACCGTGTCCTAATTGCTTACACGCTTCCGGTTATCTCATTGCGCTATGTTGGACACACTCTGTCCACAGTGAATCCGTTAATATGCACTTTTGTCGTCATGTAAACAAACCACGTACCTACAGCTGTGTGCTGGACATCAGACTGGAGATGTAACCAGTGTCACTCCAGTAAAAGCTGGGGGAGCACTTGCTATGTTTGTACATTTTAAACAGAAAACACATTTGAAATTGAATATTTAGATGTTTCTTAGCTGGAAAACACATAAAATATATCCACCGGCAAGGAAGCGATTACACTTCAAGCCACCTCATTTAGCTAGCTGCCACCTTATTTAGGTTTCTATAGGTAAATGAGGAGGTATCCTGTAGATAACTCCTCATTTCAACTTTGCAGAAGCAGAGGAATAAACGAAAACTTTAAGGACACGGTGTAAGCTGCGAGCTCCAGGAGGCAAACCTGCCGTAGAACAGACATTAGTAGCTTCTGACAATCAGAACTGGTTTCCACTCTTCACAGACATCAATGGCAAAAAAGGAGGCAAAACAACACTGGTATTATTCTGTAGTTACAACTGAAGCAGAGCAAGTATCAAAAATAAATCAAAAAGCTGTGAGCCACAAACAGTACAAAATAAAAAGTATTTTTTTCCCGCTCAGGACAGTTTCACCATCAGTCACATCTTCACAACATTAAGACACTAAGTTAAGGATGGAATGGTAGACATGTTTTCACTGGGAGGTAAGAATCAAAATGGGGAGTGGAATAAGAGGATTCAATAATGCTTTCAACTGCCAAAATAAAGGAAACATCAACAGTGTTTGTACTGTTTAACTTCAGTATGGTGACCACCCACAACTATTTACCTTGAGGGAAAATACACCCAATATTCCAAATTATTCCGTATCCATCATTCACCGTTTGGATTCCCGTGTTTTGGCAGTTCGCTGCAGATGGCAGAAAATGATAAAAAGACTGCTGTTTCGTTGTCAGGGTGAAGCAGAGTTGCTGAGTGTTGGGAGCAGGTCAGTTCTTCAGCACAGAGTCGTACATTTGGTAGACGTACTGAGAAACCTCAGGGGCCCGACACTTGAGGGACAACTGTGGAGACGGAGAACACACAGTTTTCAACGGGAGACACTTTCACTCACACATATTCAATCTGACACTGTTTGAAAGAGATAATCAAATCTGTGTTTATACTGCGGTACAGGGGTAAACGGTTATCAGTGACAGCTGTTTTAACATTTTTATTTGGCCATTATGGTTTTCACACTATATGAACTAGTGCTTGGGACCGTAAAGCCCAGGCTGACGGCCCAACAGTAAAAGCTGATTGTTGAATACTCTACCGTGTAGTTGGGGTTGCCAGGCTGGATGCGGAGCTCAGCCAAGATCCAGATGCCGTTGGTCAGCTTGAGGGACTGGTAGAGCATGTCCTGGCCTTCTACGTTCCTCTTGGCGATAGTGTAGATGTTGTTATTCTGCAGCTTCCCTGATACTGTGTCTGCAACACCAGAATCAAGGTCAAGTAATTAACGCACTCCACCACTCTAATTACAGAAACCACATGAAACGCACACACACAAGAGGCTGTAATCACTACTGGGACCGTAATGACTACAGGTACTAACACTAACGTCCACATGAGCTAATGCAAACTACTACTTGCAAAAAGGTTTAACAGGGAATTGACTGTAAATTCGCTCTAGGATTTTAATGAACTGTGATTGGGAACCTTCAGACCAGGTAATCTACAACACTGGGCTCTGCTAACAACCACCACTGTGGGCACAATTATGTGGCAGCTTCTAAACGGAAAGAAGTCGGAGGTGTCCTTCAGGTACAGAGGAAGAGGAAATGTTGATGTATCCAGAGATAGGCATGTGGGTGGAGAAAGAGAACACAGAGAGAAGCGTAAGGTCTTTGGGTTGAGTTGCTGGGAGGGTAATCTCAGGCCTGAGCAATCAAAAAGAGGACAATGGGTTGGCTGTAGCAGGGTAGGATGAAAATGTGTTTAACAGATTTAGAAATATCACTGAGCTCATCTGCACTCTTCGCTTTCCATGTTTTGCCAGTAAGGAACTTTCTATTGCTTTCTGTTCTCTTTAGCCCATTATCCTCTGTGTAAGGTTTTATCTTAGGTGGTTAAGTTTCCTGAAGAGAACAGGTGAAGACAGATCAGTTGGAAAAAAATACACTCAGGCAAGTGTTGTAAATAAAACTCTGCTTGGATGGTGCTTCACTGCAGCAATGACAAAGAATTGTTATACATTATCTAAACAGTAGGTAGCTTGCATTCAGGTCGCGTACCACCACTCCTAAGACATCCTTTAATCCCACATCACATCTCCCATCAAAGTCTATTTCAAAACTTTCTATAAGTTTTGAAATAGAAGAAAAAACCACCAATGAGTCTCCAGTAGTATTCAGTAAAAGTACAGGCACAGATCATTTGGAGGAGACTGAAAAATTGCGATGCAACTGAGGTGAATTATATTCACAAACTTGCCTACCTGCATTTAGGTGACACTCTTTTATCTGGTACTGTAGCTCATTCTCATTGGGGATGTCTTTCCAGGTAGCCAGGAACACCTGTCGCTCTGAAACAGGGGAATAAAAAAGCATATGATCAGTGATGTGGAAGTCAAGAATTGGTTTCCATAGATAGAAACACTACACATTATTGGATGGTTGATACATATGGAAGCAAATAATGGCCAGTCTTTTAGTATGTGATAAACATGAAGGGCATATTTTCTATTTTACCTAGTTCTTGTTTTAAAATAGGCCATACGTCCATTCTGTTCTAGTAAAGATTTTTAGTTTCTCATAAAATTCAAACTTTCTGTCAAATGCTTCCATAGATAGAACTCATACCTGAGTTTAATTGGCTTCAATTAGCTGTAATCTGTATTTTCAGAAAGCTTACAGTCACGTTTTCTGTTCTAACCTCTGCAGTAATTATATTTTATTAAACATGTCACTTCCAAAGTTAGAACTATATAAATAAACATTTTTCAAGTTAATATTTTATTCCTGTTCAACGGTTGTGGAAGATATTATTCACCATTGATGTAATGGTGTGATAGTGATGTTGTTTTATAAAGCTGTGAGTAACAATCATACCCATTTTTCCATCCTCAACAAAGAATATGTTGAGAGGGATGAGTACACTGAAGTAGAAGACATCGATGCTGTTCTTCACAGCCACCTGGATACAAGAAAAAATAAAAAGTCAGATAACAATGTTCCAACATTGCTTGGACTCCTTGTTCTGTACGGCTGTTCTAGACAATTATAAAATATTTGTGCATTTGGTGTCAGGAAAGTGATTCAACGTGGGATTACCAGATTAGTAAGCGAGTAACATCTGTTCAAATGTCAACTGTGAACAAGTGCTTGTGTTCAGTATCTTTAAAAACTGAAAAATAAATTGTTATCATATGTGTCAACTAAGGTCTCTGTTGCCTCATGTATTTTTCACATACACACTTTTTACACTAAATAGAAAATTGGACGCACTTGGTGGTCAGAACGATTTATAATATGTCTAATAAATAGATTGTAGCAACAGGAAACCTTTGTTTAGCATGGCACTGGTTCCACTGAACAATGAGATATTTTGCTTGTTGAAGGAAAAAAGAAATTGACTGCCACAAAAGGTACAAGCGATGGTCAGCCAGAGAAGCTCAAAGACAGACAACGACTGAGAGCTTGTTGTGTCAGTGAGCACTTCTGTACCTGCAGATTATTGAGTGGGTCCATCTTCATGACTGGACCAATAGTATTGATAGGCAAAGAGACCTCAATACTCTGGCTGGGCATCAGTGGAGTGTGAACGGGCAGAGGACTGGTAGGGATCATCCCAAAACTACATGTAGGAAACAAACAAAAATCAAACACTGGTGGCATTCTGTATCAATAAATACACTCAGGTTAAAGCAGTCTAATGCAGCAGCTCTACTGTTTCAGAGACGTGTTTGTAGTTGAACAAAACTTTTCCTGTGAGTCATCTCACTGACCTGTTCTTGTTGAACTGGACAGCGAAGTCGGTCATGTGTTGCAGGGCCTTGTTGGTGAAGGTCATGTCCATATACATGTGACCCTGGCGACGAGAGAAGGTTCCAGATATTTCCAGTCCTTTGGCTTTCACTGCAGGCAGCCACACCTGGTAAAAAAAAAAAAGTACCAGTGTAATCAGTTTTATAGGTTGCCCACTTTCCAAAAACTTTTAAACCATACAACGCAATGCAACGTTATCCTGCAACATAGTGTTACAGCAATATAGCACACATTCATGGTAAATTACTATCTAACTTTAACACCATGTTGTACCTTTGAATCGTCACAACAGAGCATAAAATAATCATCATAATCTTCTCAGAGTTTTAAGTCTTGTCTCTAATTATCATCTGACAAATTTCTTATAACTTTTCAAATTCACATTATTTTTACAAGAATCTTTTCTCTTGTCACGGATTCTGACCTAAAATATACACAGAAAATAGCACCCAGAAACTGCATAGGGATCTATATGCCAGAAATTTCCTTTCAGGATTTCTGAAACATTCATCCAGTTCCCTGAATTTTTCTTGTAACTTTTTCTGGTGTCCATGATTCCACAAAGTTTCTGTTTTGGCTAAACTTTCTTAGCATAAAACTGCCTTATTGTGAGTGTAGGCACCACTGGAACTCTACAGATACATTTGTTATTGTGTAACTGAAACTGAACATGTATCATGAAACGTAAGCCATTCAGTAAACAGTTGTCTGTTTTATGGTGCCCCATGTGAGGCGAGTTAATTATTGCTACATATTTTATTAGTCCTTAAGCTATTTTCCCTACATGAGCAATGTACCCATAACAGACTGATGCATGTTGTCTGGCCTGCTTGCTGAGGCTGAAGTTGTGTGAACTCACTGCTTTTGGGGCTACATAGCCTCCAGTGGTAATGGCCATGCCCGTGGAAAGTTCAAACAAGTCGTTCAGGCCACTGCTGACAGCTGGAGGTGCTGGTGTAGGTGACGGAGCAAAAGTACTGGGGACAGATGAGGGGATGAAGTTTTGCCCCACCTAAAGCAATCACAACAGAAACACACAAACACAATCTAAGTAACCGTAATTTTAGTAAGCATCACTGGAAACGTGACAATTTACTATAAACCTACAAAGAGAATCACACAGACAAACTGGAGTCAAGCCAAAGGAAGAAACAACAAAACTCTTCAGTGAATATGAGTTCATCTATAGCAAGCATATGTGATTAGCCAAAGCCCCTATGACAGAGAAAGCTCAATGTGATATGAATTTAAAACATGCTACCTGTGGTTTTGTGTGTTTTAGCCCATTAATTATAATTATTGCTATTATGATCAAGCCATTGTGTTTTAAATATTTGAAGGTTATGACTGCAGACTTTTCAGATCAGTCAGCTCTTACAGAAATCTGACATGAAGTTTCACTGTGATGGATTACTTAAAATAAAAACCTTATTTTCAAATTAAGAATGTGACCCAATAGGTAACTCAGTTACTTAGTTACAGTTGAGTGACAGGTGTGTTCATCCAATCAGGTATAAAAAAGGTCCATACTAAAGTCAGAGTGAAGGACAAAATCTTTTGTACAGCTTGCTTAAAATTATTTCTGTCTAAAGCAAGTTTATACATGGTCTATTCAGACAAAGATGAGTGCAAGTGAAAATTTCGGGATGGTTTCTCCTGGTCAGAAAATGGGCTAAAACATGCAACGCGTTCTAACTGAAAATATGTGTGTGAGAGAGACAAGAGAAGCCAGATTTAAAAGCTTGAAAAGTTGGTTTGAGAGTGTGGTGGGTTAAATTCAGGGAGCATGCAGCATGCAGACAGGCAGACTGCCAAACAGAAGGGCTTGACTTACTGCTGGACTTCCCCCAACACCTCCGCTCAGGTCTCCCCCAAGCTACAGGAGAGAGAGGAGAGGCCCCCAAAGACAGCATCCAAACATCACAGACCAAACACACAAACACAGACAGAGACAGAGACTTTCTTAGCAACCGCAACCCATCAAGAGGAGCCCTCACCTTCTGGGAAAATAGCAACTCCACATGTTATGTTAAACACCTTAAAATAAGACTTTTAAAATATGCGAGAAGATTATCATGAAGTCCAGTCATTGCAGTGGCTTAGAGATGTAGAAAAGTGACCATTAACAGAGGAAAAATGCAACAAGGCCCAATGTAGCTTGATGTAAATAAAATACTTGTGCATATTTACGTCAATGTATCAAAATATTCAGGATTTTTAGGGATATATTACAATTTTTATGTGATATATTACACAGAATAACAGATACAACAAAGGTACAAAATTGAACTCATATACTTACATGAACATTATAACTGCATCGTTCATTAGTTTGTTTGAAAATAATTTAAGAAATACTATTATAAGATTGTGCAGTTAGAAGAGTTAGTTGTTGCTTTTTTGTTCAACAGTAAGAATCAGAGGAAGTCAATATTTCAGCTGCTTTCTTTGCAATAAAACAATAAAACCTTTGCGAAAATGCTAATTTATAGATTAAATAAAAAACAAAACACAATGCATAGGCTCTCTCCTCCTTCATTTGATGGCTGCCTTGCACCAGGATAGTTTATGATGACCATGAAACAGATGTGTCCCTCATATGATAGATGTGTTTAATTACAGCTGTATAGATTTTGTGCTGAAACATATTGTTCTTTGTCTCATTGGCACAAAAACTACGAAGCACAGAAAGCCGACTGGGTCTTCAGCCATTTTTAGCCTATGTTTTCACTCTACAGTAAAATCAACGTGTGTGTGTGTGTGTTCAAGCTCACCAGACTGTCCAGGCCTCCTCCCAGAAGGTCCACCGCACCCATCTGCATGGAGGAGACCTGGGGCACATTGACTGGAGGGCCCAGGTCCAGGTTTAGCAGGTCACCCAGCAGGTCACCCTGGCTGGGGATCACATGCGGCTGGTCCATGGCAGCCGCTGGCCCACCGCTCACTGGGCTCTCACCTGTATCAATGCTGTCATAGAAGAAGACAATAGTACTGGTGAGAGAAAGGTATTTAAGTCCAGTACAGACAGAAATCTGCTAAAACTCAAACTTTCTGTATTTAAAATGATTGTTTGTCGTGTTTGGGACCTTTTAGCCACATAAACTGGAAACTGTCAGTTATGATTTACATTATCATAACGTATTAAACCAGACTAGACAGGGCTACTTCAGTCAGACTGCACACATTATCTGACAAAGTGAAAAACCTCATCATCAACAATTTCCTCTCAATAAGCAGCACTGGATCTTCTTTTCACTTCTTTATAATTTCTTCCTTATTAATATCAGAGAGACATGGGGCAATATATTCAGGGTGTTGGGTAATATCCTGTTCTCTGGAACAGTTGCTGGAGCATAAAATGTGCTATTTAATATGAACATATATTGTATGGTAGACCACACAGTACTACTCAAGAGCCTAAGACCCTGAGATCTAAACTGGTGGTCGATTCAGGTACATACACAGCACTTTTGGGTGATGTGGTTTAAATTGTCATAAATAAATATATATTTTATGAAAAATCAATTGGAAAACTGCAACAAAAATCATAAAAACCTAATATTGGCATAAATATATGATTGACACACTACACCATCTTCAAACTTTTAAAACCATTAAACAAACACATGTTGAATGTATCAGAGTGCAAAGAGAGCATGTGGAAAGGTGTCTAAAGGCAGTCAGAGCCATGTGAGTACAATCAAAGGGAGGATAACTGTCAGGAGAGCTGTTGAAATGTGTGTATCAGACCTGCTGTGCTGCACAGGAAGGTGTTTCCGGTGGATTCCATGGCTGCCCTCGACGAAGGCGCTGGGGGGTTTGTGGTAGACGGAGGCGAGGGAGCCAATGTGGCAGATGAGCTCGTCCAGTAGGGTGGGCTCGATCAGGTCCGTCTCCTCGGAGATCAGGGGCTTCTCTGACAACACCACCTCCTTGGCAGTCACGGGGTCGGTGGACAACAGGCGCCAATAAATGTAGCCCCTGTCTCGCAGGTCAGGGTTGTCAGAGTCCTGCAGAGCACCAGGAGAATTCATCACACTCGCTGCAGATTATATATTTTATTATTCTGTCATAGAATAACTGTGAGGACAAACAGCTGGACTAAAAATGGGCAAGAATACTTTGATATGCTACAGGGTTCCCACTCTTATGAAATTATTTTCCAGGGCCTTTCCCTGACATTTTCCAGGATTTCTCTTGACAATACACCTACTCACAAACAGTCATAGTTTACCAATAGTCCTAATTTACAAATTGTTACCAGTTTACTACAGGGTTTTCCTCAAACCTAGGTTCATGCAGGCAATCTGAGTGAGGGACTAAAACACAATTGAAATATTCAAGGCCGACATAGATTATTTCCAGGATATTTGGTCATTTTAATCATATTCCAGGTGTTTCCATGACTGGAAAACTAGTCTCTAAATATCTGGATTTGCCAAGAGGAAAACCCAGATATTTACAGGGCAGTGTAAGAGCAAAATAAACAGGCAACATGATCCAGCAGGGAATAAATAAACCATCAAACCTCTTCAGAATAACAGACGACACTCACCTGAGTGGCCAGGCTGAGAACCTGCTGCACCAGCTCCTGAGTCTCTGATGGCTTCTTAAGGAACAGCTTGACAATGGCAGTCAGCAGAGTGAGCTGGACCTGTAAATCAAAACACAGTTATATCATTATATATATTATCATATTTCAATGTACAATGCCTCTAAAGTCTCATCCTCACTGTGCGAGGACAAAAGTATGGAACTGTGGGGATGTCCATGCTGTTAGGGTTCCCCTGTTTTTCAATGAACCCACCTGGGTGCTCTCATCGTGGAAGCCCTCGAGGAAGCTCTCCAGCAGCTCGTCGGCGTTGTCAATCCTCTCGGCGTACTCGCCAACAATCCAGATCATGGCAGCACGAGCGTCGGGCTCATCCAGAGAGTCCAGATTCTCACACAGTGTGGCAATGATGCTTTCATACCTGAACGACCCCAGTATCTCAGAGGTCAGAATGAAACTCTACAAGCAGCTTACAGCTTCAATGTACGTCGTATACTGAATACTATAAACTGAGTACAGCATCTTTTGTGCTCTAAATGTGATTTCTGGTCAAATCAGAAACAGACATGATTAAATCAGACTGTATTCATAGATCGACTAGTTATTCAACATGTAATGACTCAACAATAGGAAACATACTTGTTGGGGTACTTGCGGAAGATGTCCCTGATGACCACAATAGCCTCCTGGACCACGTAGTTGACCTTGGTCTGGATCAGGTCCAGCAGGGTGCTGACACAGCGCTCAGCTGATTGCTGGAGAGGAAGAGAAGGGAGGCAACATGTCACCATTACTGCTACAGAGGAAATTGTTTAACAACAAACTGGAGCGAGATGGGAGAATGAATATTAATAAACTGAACGAACGCACAGATGCAAGCAGATTTCTGTTGCAAGCTACAGTCTATATATATATAATTCCTCATTTTTTATTGTTAAACACAAATTCCACTTTGAATGATTTACACAGATAACAACCCCCGGTTAGATGTTTCTGTGATACACGTTTTTTAAAATACCTCTAGTCACGAGAAGGTACAGTACAGACAAGCATAAACTGAGCATAAATAATTGATTTAAAGCCATAGTTTCTGTTAAATGGCAGGTAGAATCAACTGATCAATAACCACACAGGCAAAACTATCACCAGCAATTAGATACTGAAGGAATCACTCACTGAATCATGTTGAGTTATGATATAGCTACGATCAATTAATCTCAATGCTCTGGCAACAAGTCTTAAATACATTAGACAGACTCGGAAACAAGAAGACTTCACAGTAGAGATCGGTGATGAGGTTGTTGGTTTCTTACCTCCACTTTGATGGCGCAGCGTCCGATGGCTCGCACAGCTTTGCGCACAAAGTCAACATCCACCTCTGTGGCGTATTCCTTCAGTTCAGCCAGCACCTGAAAGTGAAATATACTGCATGAGTACACGGTACAATACCACACACATACTTTAAGAGCTTTAAGTGGTGATTCAGCATAATAAGTTTGTTCCAGTTTGACCTCTTTATACAAATGACACATCTTTGCTCAAACTACAAATAATAGATTTCAATTTGAACAATAACAAGATCAAAATATAAATTAGTGATCTAATTTTTGTTTCTTTGACAAGCACCATAATGCCCTTAGAGGTGTCCATTATCAGGACATATAAAGTACCTGGGCAATGTTGGCCTGAGAGGCCAAGCGGATCATGATGTCCAGTTTCTCTAGTTTCACATAGATGGGGTCGTTGTACTTGACAAAGAACACCTTGATCTCCTGCTTCAGGATCTCGGGCCTGCACACAAACAACTCATTATAGACTGTGGAGAAGACCTGATCCAAAGGAACATGTACTCCAGAAGGCAAAGACATAATTATGTTATTAGTCTGAATATACGACAACAGCAAATTACAGCTGAAAATGTTATTTTCTATTTGAGGAATGGAGCAACTGAGTGTCTAATGAGCCCAATTACACTAAAAAGAATATTATGTTTGAGGTTGGTGAGCCCAAAATAAAACATGCCAACAGTCTTGGCTTGTTTGTGATCACACACACCTTTTCTGGACAATAAGGTTGATGTTCCTCAGAGCCACATACTGGACCTCAGGTTCTCCGGAGAGCAAGGTGACCAGTGGCGGGGATAACTTCTTCAGCAAGGTGTTGTAGTAGTCGGAGTCCTTGGGCAGCAGCTCCAAGAACTTCATCAGCACCTTGACGGCTGACAGCACCACGGCTGAGTTGGCGTGAGACAGCCGGGGAGTGACGCGCTCGCAGATGCTTTGAAAGGTAAGGAGGGAAAGGTGAGAGTCAGGAAACAACACTTTTATACAAAGAAAGAAATAACTTATTACAAGTGGAGATAAATAATTAAGAATTGGTGGAGTGATTGCTACCTTTGGGCCTCGCGCTCATCCTTGGGGTTATAGTTGGACAAGCAGTCCAAGATGAAGATCTGCCCCCACTCCGTGCACTCGTTGAGGGCCGTCAGCAGCTTGTTGATGTTCTGAGGGTTGAGGTCCAGCAGGTTGCTGTTGGGGTGAGACTCGCTGATCTCAGACAGGGCAGCAACGGCATTGGCCACGACCTGCAACGGAGGAGTTCTGTGATGAGAACTTTGAGAACTTTTAAATCAAAAAGTCTTTGACTGAAAGCAAAACCGGAGAAAAGAAGCCTCAGGTTGAAAAGAACCGACACATTACCATGGGATTTGAGTCGGCAATGAGATCTCTCAGAGAGTCCAGGAAGCCCTGGTCCTCCACCATCTGGGCATTGATGTCGTGGAGTTTAGCCACACAAACGGCCGCCGTCTTCCTCACGTACGGGTCCTCATCCTTCAGGCACTTCCTCAGCGGTTCACACAGGTACTCGGTGATCTTGTCCACCCGGATGCAGCCCATGGTGCGGACGGCCAGAGCCCGGATCAGAGGGTTGGGGTCCTCACAGTCCTGGAGCGCAAGACAAGAAAATTAAGTTGTGGTTTTAATCAGACTGGAGGCGGGATCCCACCGCGAGCCAACAGTGGAATTCAGTAACGGGTAAGACTAAGTGAGTGTTTCAGAGACACTGCTAGTATTATATATATTATACAGTTGAGAATTTGGGCCTTGCCTTGACAAAGCTGTTGACAGCCATGATGGCCATGTCTGGCTGGCTTTTAGCGTAGTTCATTAAGTAGAGGTAGACCAACTTCTTCAGCTCCAGGTTGTCCGTCTGCATGCAGTTCACCACATCTGGAAACAAAGAACTGAAAGAGAAGACGGAGGTCTGTATTTGATTCTCTCAGAAGTGTTCTGACAATCTAAAGGTGAGGAAAAGCTTCTGATTTCTGATGCTACTGGCCAGATGTGCAAAAGCTCCACAAACAGTTTTCTTTAGATTCCTATTCGCAGGTTTCAACAGGTTAAATTTAAGACTTTTTAAGACCATTATTAAGACCTATTTCACATTCATACAGGCAAAAAAACAAAAGTACGAAGGGTATAAAGAAAGTCTGGTATTGGTTGTTACATCATGATCAATGCAGATTTCTCCCAAAAAACACATTTACAAAAGAGACTGAAAACTATGCAACTTTATACGAGTAACATTAACTTAATTAATCTAATAAATTCACTGTAGTGAGTAATTTACTTGTCTTTAACTCACGCTGTGAGTCTGTGGGAAACACTATATCGAACCAGCAACTGTATATGGACTCGTTTGGATCGGTTGATCACTTATATGTTATATGTTTATATGAGAGTTTAAATGTTCCAGTGTACCTGACGTCCTTTCCAACAGTCATTGCAGCAATGACCTTCTTTACCGCCTCTTTTCTCTTCTCCTTCTTCTCATTGTTCAGTTCTGCTTTCAGTTCAAAGATCTCTCCTGGAAGATGAATCACAGTGAGTCAGACACAATCCAACCTTGAAGCTACTTGAAATGAAAGGAATGTGAATGTTTACGGGTTGAATAAGATGACTAATTCTACCGCAGTTTAACGGTTCAGCACCACGTCCTGCCTTGCTCACCTTTTTTGTTTGTTGTGAAATATTTGGAGTCCGTCATGATTGTGGTCCTTTAAGTCTGTAACAGAGGAAATACACTGCATTAATGATTCCCAATTTCCATTTTCTCACAGTACAATGGGTTCATTTCATAAACTCCACCTCTCCCAGATCTGTTGTGTTAGTCTTAGTTTATCTGTGCTGAACCAGACTGGATTTGAATACCACATCAAAAAGGAGACAACAATACCAGCATTAATATTCATATATATAGCATTTCTCTGCGTCTCTCGCTTTTATAATTATTCTACAGGTCTCAACATTACAGGCTCCTTCTATGAGACACAAATACAGCCACGTCACCTGCCACACAATGGGCTGTAATGAAGAGCTCTTCAAAGGTAGCACTGTTACAGGATGCCATCATTTGCTCCCAGTCAGCAGTAAATGCATCTGGGAGCAAAAACTGTTCAGGACACACGCACACACACACACACAAAACGCAGCAGAACCGGACCACAAAGTGCATTACGCCTTATTTCAAATCCTCAGTTGCAACACCAACTATCACGTTCCCAAACTGCGTCAGGAAGCGATGTCAGCACTATTCAGCCCGCAGCTTTTATTACGCGGGTTTCCATGGTGGAGCAGAGGAACGTCATGTCTGGAGGGATAAATCAGGGTTCACTGAGGGGTGTAAGTGAACGCCGGTGCACGGTTTGCCACGTTTCTTTGTCCAGAAGTAGAAAATAATGTTATTTATTTGGAAAAGAAAAGATAAATGACACAAATAGGAGATCCTCATCTGCCGGAAGTTACACGGATGTGAAGTAACTAAGTTCCAGCTGCATACTCAGACATTTCAGACAATAATGTGCTTTTAATTTGGTGGCAAATGTTTGAGGAAGCCTTTCCTGTTTCAACATCATGACAATGTGCACAAACTGTGATCCATAATAATAATATGTGTGTGTGTCGTGCCATAAATCATATACGCTAGGATCACTACATATTAATATGCTATATAGTAACACACGTATGGGCGTACTTTAACGTATCTGATAACTGATTGTTGTCGTGTGATGTGTGTGTGTTGCTAGTATTAAGTATTGTGGTGTAAACGAATGTGTAGTAGGTATAATAATGTGTGTGCGTATAGTATGGGTGTGTGGTTGTAATATAAGTCGTTGTGTGTGTATATGTGTCCGTCGTGTCTGTATACTTATATAGACTATACGTTAATAACTACTCCCGCTAAATATATATTATATATGACTCATAGTCTAACTATAGGTATCGCTGTGTGTGGGTGTGTATAACTAATATATGTCGTGTGTGTCAATGTGTGTACTCGTCGTGTAATATATCATGCTGTGTGTGATGCTGATGTATAAAATAGTGTGTGTGGTATATATACTATAGTATGTGTTGTGTGTATATATGTTGGTGTGGTATATATATAACTATGTGTGTGTGTGTATTATTGTGTGTGTTGTATAAGTGTGTGTGGTGTATATATTGTTGGTGTGTAGATATATTGTGTGTGTGTGGTATATATATAGTGTTGTGTGTGTGACATCGAATGTGTACATGACGTGCTGCTTGTGCGATACTGTGTAACACTAGTACGACTGCTGTCGTGTACTGTCGGTGTTAACGTGTCGTACTATAATCATGACGTGTGGCACAGTGTGGCCGTCGTATAGCAGCCTGACCGTCTGTGTATTATATTGTGCTGGCATATCAGTAGCTGCATTTGTTGATGCCTGTATGCGCTATGCATGTCCGCTAGATATTATGTTGCTGTCTATATACATGATATCGCTAGGTCATGTGTCGTAGGTGACGAGGATGTACTGGCGCACGTGTCGTGCTGCGTATTGACTACCCCGTGACAGCCCGTCCGTGGTGTGATGCGGGATGTGTCATGTGTGGCTGCGACTAATATAGATGTGGATGGTGATGTTGTATGTGTGTACCGGTATGTGCTGGTCGAGGTGGTGTATATAGTGGGAGTTCGTCTGTGGTCGTGTAGTATATCAGGTCGGAACCCGGCTAGTGCACACGGTCGGGTCGCGGTCGCTGCGTCCCATGCGCGTCGGGGACCTATCACAAGTACTGACGCGCCCGCGGCCCCGGGGTCGCATGCGACCGTGGTGTCACTAGCCCTAGTATAGCCCCTCCGTCGTCGCTAAGTCGGGTGTGTCCACGCCCGCGCTGTTGTATCGATGCCCCGTCACTGCGGTCGCGTGATCTCGGCGTCATGTGCTTCACTGGTGGTGGGTCACTCCAGACGGATGCCGCTGCTGCGTGCATGCTGTAGGCGTAAATACCGACGCGGCGCCTGGGCTCGCCGCGCTCTGGCGTGGGCTACTACCTACCTGCGCGGTGCTCGCTTAATAACCATACCGTCCCACTCCGATCGGCGCGTCGTCAGGCCACGTCGGCGCCCGCTGGTCACCGCCTCGGCGCTGCGAGGCGCGCTCAGTGGCTCCCTTCTCCGCCGCTGGGGGCGTTCGCGCGTGTGGTCGTACCGGCCTCACTGTGTCGCCTGCGTGTCGTCGGCGCCTGGTGGGTCTGGCTCATCCGACCTACTAGCCGTCCCCGTGCGTGTGCTCTGCTCCTCGTCGGTCGCGCGGGATGCGTCCGCGCTCACTGCGTGCAGTGCTGCGCGTCAGCTGACTCAGCTGACCCGGCCGCCGCAGGCGCAGCGGCGAGATCCGACTACTCCGGTACCCGCCACCTGCACCGCCAGCTGCTAAGGCCTCGTGCCAGCAACTAGGCTGACACGCGGCATGCACCTGCGCACCAGGATATCCACCTGTGTCAGCTGTGGCGTGATGTAAATCCGATGGCTGTGAGTGTAGTTGTGTGGGTTGTGGCTGTGTGCTGTGGTGTGCCTGTGTGTGTGTCTTTGACTCCAGCCTAGCCTAGGCCCATTAGGCTCACCTTGCAGTGGCCTAAGCGTCTAGCTAAAGGCACCGAGCCTTTACAAACAAACAAACCGATCACAACCCGAACCAACTTATTAAACACGATATCAGTCCCTCTCTAAGCCTCGCCCACAGTCGGCCGCCTGCGTACAGTCTGTCCTACAACCGCGCGCGCAATTCACATTAAACCTGGTACCAACCAAACATTGTAAAGCGGACACAGCCGGCCATCCCCGCCGGCGGAACCACCTGACAGGCAGCTAACGCTAACAGATAATAGCTCCGTAGTAACCGACCGACCTGACCACCAAATCACACAGAAACAACAACAACAGCGTTAGAGGACGGACCGCGCGTGCAAGCTGCCACGATACTCTGGTTGGAGGGAGAGTTCAGCGGGAGGTCACGGTGGGATGTCCAAAGCCGCAGCTCGCTCCCTCGGCCCGGTTTGACGAAGTGAGACTCATGGGATCGCGGTGCCTGCGTTCACATGTCTCCGGAATGAGCGGAACACTTCCCCTGTCCGGGGTCTGAGACTCCTGCAGGAGGATCCAGGATTGTTGGTCGCTTGTGGAGGCTCAATTTCCCAAAAATGTGGCGAGAACAAAGGATTCAGGGAGTTCATTTTAATGAAATCCGTATCATCCAGAAATACGATTTACATCTCAATATAATGGATTTAGTATCTGAAAATAACTGATTAATACCTCACAACTAATTAATAAGTAACCTCAAATAGTAATGATTAAGTATCTTAAAATAATGAATTAGTACCCATCAAAATAATGAAATTAAGTAGCTTAAAATAATGGAAACTTAGTAATCCTAAAATAATGATTAATAATCTAAAATAAATATGACTATAGATTCTTAAAATTGACTAAGTAGCTTAAATAAGTTAGTACAAAAGGTTCTGAAACCTAAGATTGAATGTACCCTCACAAATCATACAGTGCCTCAATATAATGATAACGTACTTAAAATGAATTAGTACCTCAAATATAATGATTAAGTATAATTAAAATAATGACTTAGTATCCTAAAAATGATAACGTATCTTAAAAATAATGATGTAGTATCTTAAAAATTGACTAAGTATCTAAAATAATGATTTAGTATCGAAAAAAATGATTTAATTACCTCACACTGAACTGACAAGTATCACTCCAATATAATATTAATCGTATCTTGAAAATAATGACTCTAATATCTTAAAATATGATTTTACGTATCTGGAAAATAATGATTGAATTACCCCTCACACTAATGGGATACGTACTAAATATAGATGATTAGGGGCGGGGGGGTAGGAAGTATTTAAAATAATGAACAATTAGTACCTCAAAATAATGATTTAGTACCTCAAGTAATGACTTAGTATCTCAAAATAATGATTTAGTATCTTAAAATAATGATTAAGTATCTTAAAATAATGATTTAGTATCTTAAAATAATGGGACACTTTGTGATTGTAAGTCATTATTTTAAGAAAGTTTCTCATTACAGAATCTTTTTTTTAACATCACATTGACAGAAATGGACTTCCATACCTGTTTGCGTTACCACCGACCAAATCAACCAATCAAATGGTTTATAGGCTATAGTTAAATCTGCACATAGTAGTATATATTGATAATAACAATAATAATAAACTTTATTTATCCAGAACTTTTCAAAACAAAGTACCTTACATGGCCAGAACCAGGATTTAATAACATTTTAAACCAGATAATTAAAATCATACGGAAGTGAGGTGGAGTAAAGAGAATAAAAATAAATACTAACAATGAAACAGATATAAACATATTGTAAACTAACTGCATTGCACTGCGGCAAATACATTGAACAATTAAAATCTCTGAGAGAACCCATTATTGACTGCATGTAGATGATAATGTGCACAAATCAATCAGCTGGTCTCAGGCGTGACTGCCGCACAATTTCCTATATTTTTGAATGTAACACGAGAATAAAGTCTGAATGATGTCCTGACTGACAGACTGGGAACTAAATGATGGCAGATTTTATGGTGAAAAACTGTGAAACCACGACAGTAAAACTCTAAATGGATTAAATACAGTTTCTGTAACAACTGAATTATAATTTTATCTTCTTGCAGTTTGACCAGATGAGACAAAAACGCCCGTTAGTTGTCAAATGAAGTGAAGTCTGATCAGATTTATAGACTCTGTTTGGACACAAAGAACAACTGCTGCTGGGTTTCCTGCTGAACTTTATTCTAGTGAAATGAGAAGTGATCATAATAAATGCAGACACACTGGTTTTAGGCACATTCAGCAAGTCAGTATGAGATGTGATTAAAACATTCAGATTCAGATTCAGAAGTCCCTCAAAACTTCAGTATGCACACACAGCCGAGGACATCTAAAGAAAAATACATTTATAAAATATTTTAAAGAAGAGGGATTTGACAAGGCAACACTTATCGGCTGTTACACTTATTGCGTAACTCTTTATTCAGATAGTCCACCTACAGTTTATAGAGTATTTGTAACATTTCAGCAGCTTATTAGTTGAGATTCAACAACCATTTTCTGATTTTACACCACTGTGGTTAAAGTTTGGTTTTGTTTAGGCACAAAATAAGTTTGGTTAGGGTGTGTTCATCACTTGTCACATGTTTAAAGACAAAAAATATACTCTGTAAACTATCTGCAGGCAGACAAATAGAGTTAGTAATGATTGCAAACTGACTTTAATGACAGCAACATCATCATCAGATTAAAACAGTGGATGAGTTAAGGTTTTAAAAGTGTGCAAAGAGCATCAGCTCTGACAGTTATACACTATAACACATGATGAGACCTGATGTTCATGGATATCAGATATACACATACTATAAATATGAAACAGATCAAATACAAATACACACTACTACAGTATATTCAGATTAATAATGAGCAGTTAAGTATATGTTAGTATCTTAAAGTGCCCATAGTATGAGAATCAACTTGCAGAAACTTGTAACTTCTTTGTACGTCGCAGTAAAGACAGACACACAGACTGTCTAATGTTTTACAGTGATGCTGTTATGTTACGATTGCACAGTAGTGCCATTGTTCTTCCTCGTTGTTGTCTGTTTGCAGGATTGATGCATTCAGGCACATTTGTATAATACGTGTTGGGGATTTCAGACTATAATTTTATCGTATCGTGTGTTTAAAAGGATGTCGTAACAGATGATGTTTTGTTTAGTAAGTTTAAAGTCTCTGCATGTTGTATTAGAGGAATCATTGTGGACGGAGGGGGGCGGGGAGCTGACAGGAACTTTAAGTTGTTTTGGACCCAGAATGTAAGAAGTAATGCTGCCGATTGTAACTTTTTCAGATGATCCGTCTCAGGAACTGAATGATGCTTTTAGCTCCGCGAATGAGACATGCCAGACACTGGAGAGCTGCATCACCCAGAAATATTAGACCAACAACCAATACAGCTCCGCCGAGCATGACTCCAATGATCAGGGCTGGGTTCCAACTATCAGAGCCAGCTTCCTCCTTCGGCCCTCCTGGTGTGTGAACACAGAAAACCAGAGTTTGTATCTGATATCAGGAGCATCAACTCAAGAACATTTACATCAATTCATCAAATCCAATTTAATGAACAATAGCAAAGAAATGAGATTCAAGGAAGCATGGGTTGGCATCATGAAAAGTACCCAAAGAGTATAGAAGCAAAGAGATTAAACTCTGGTGCTTTTTTGACACTATGACGCCATTAAATGTATCTGAAGATACCCAGACCCCAGGTGCATGCTGGTCCTGTGCTTCCTACATTTAACCTCAGGTGTCCAGTTTGACCCAATTCGCAAAATAAAACTAAATACTAATTCTGCAAAACTAAATATACTGAACAAAATAATAAAAATGATAATTAAACAAAACAAATCATTAGCAAACATGTAGACTAATCAAACAATACTTCTGATAAAACAACAACAAATAAATAGAATTAACTGTGCATAACTATTAGTTTTAGTCGTACTAACCACAGACAGAGGAGGTCAGGCTGATGAGCACAAGGATCCAGATCATCTTCTCCCTGTGAGAGAGAGAAGATTTATCTTTAATACAACAGGACAGATTGTAGATCCCTTTGTATTTAAGTCCATATTCAGCATGAAGAAGATCTTCCTTTAAGGTTTGTAATGTTTATAAATCAGTCAGAAATCAGTAGCATTAGGGTTGGGATAGTATGCTGAAGTACACAGTACACCTTTAACCAACTGACAGTACACCTTGTTTGGGTTATTCATCATCTATAGACTCACAGAAACATTCACATCAGTACATGAAGGCTCGAATGAGTGAAATATCAAAGAGGAAGTGTCCCTTTATCCCTGTTTGAGAGTCACTGGAGCAACAACTCCTTTTTTCTTTTTCAGTAATGGCTATGCTGCATGCAGACTCATTGTTGAGTCTGTCAATGACCTCTACCAGCTGATGTGTTCACTATTGTTCAGCCTGTGCTGTTAAAATAAACAATAGGTGCGCCAGAGACAGCTAGTTTGTGTGTTAAATGGTTATCCAAAGATATTTCGCTATAAATCAGGTTATATATGATACCAATAAAAAATACAAAGTAAAGAACTGATCCAGAACCAGCCCAGGAGTCAGGTGATAAAGAGACATGAACTCATTCTTAGAAGGCAGAAAGGCTGTTATTCTTTTTTTTTTTTTTAAAGAAATAATCTAAATTCAACTTAATAAATAATAATATTAAAAATCAAAACAGAGTTGGAACTTAGAGCTGTTGAGTAAAGACAAGATGGTTGGATGGTTTGTCCTTGTTTCAAACAGACGCAGTTCCTCTTTTAGTGAAGTGACGCACATAAATTCACCGTCGACGCTGATTAGAAAAAGTTTTTATATCTTCCGACACCTCCTCCAGAATTTGATCTCCAGATATATTAAGTTTGTTCCATTAGTTGATAAATTAAAAAAAGTATTTTCCATTATTGTTTTACTTTGTTCCTACTCAGTAGATCTATTTAGATAGTCAATAACATTTATTTCATCCATGCATTTGTTTTATTTTGGGCTTCTTTTTATTCAATAAAAGTTAACATGTTGCCTCAGAACCAAACAAAAAGGTAAAGTGAATAAAAGCCGATGTTTGAGTTACTCACTGTATAGTTGAAGCAGCGAGCTGTTCCACTTTATGTCGCCTGAACTTGGACAAACAGTCTGCTTGAATGCTTCATATGAGGACGTGCATGATAACGCCAATGTGCTCTTACATCAGCTCAGTCCTGAGGAGGAGCCATATGACGTTATTCAGTCATCATTCTGTCTCATAATGAACACGTTTAATTTTTTATTTCTTAAAGATCCTGTCCTCTTCAAACTCAAAGATATGTCCTCACACTTACAAACAGAAAGAAAAGTGTATCCAGACAGTCGCCAACCACCAGCCTAGGAACATCATCATCACACCCCTTTTGTCCTTTTAGCTCCCCAGCCAGTGGTCGTAGGAGGCTGCTAGGGACAAGGGAGACTTCCTGGGAGAAGCAAAGTTAGTTTGTCTCTACCCTTTCCCAGTCACTGGTGAAGGATTCAGGTCAGAGTACAGTAGGTCTTCCTGGAGTTGTTTAGCTAGAGGGGTTCCTCCAGTTCAGTCCTACTTCTTGTAGGACTGAACGTTTCTACTCTCCATCTTTATCTTCTTTTTCATCTTTCTGCTTCTCTCCAATTTCTGGAAGGTCTGCCAATTTATCACTTTCTTCCCTACTTTCTTTTCCTCTTTCTTCAAACATTACTCTATACCATCTTTAAACAATCAGTTCTATGTGTACCTATGATAGAAAACTAAACCTGGTTACATGCTGCCAAAATTGACTTTTGGGCAACTCAGTTCAGCCAGTTATCTTTATTTCCTTTCTCAAAATTTTAATGGTTTCCATAAGGAATCACATGGAACCTCCACAATTTACAGTTCCAGCACAGGAACAAACCAGACAGCCACTATCACACAGGAAATAAGCACTGTCTACCTTGGTTTTTACATTCGAATGGATTCAAAACATCATACTCACTTCTCAAATAGATGGTGCGTTCACTGTCCACCACCTGTGTCGGACATCAGACGGGATCCTTGTTTGTCAGGGCAGAACTTTCCCTGTCGGCAGTTAACCTTCAGTCTAGACCCAGGCGTTGATCAGATCCCATCCTCGTCGTCTGAAGAATCAAGTCTCTTTACTTCATGCAGCATGGAGAGAAGACCTCAGCATTGTTGTTCTCTCCCAGACGTTCAGAATGATCTACTGTAACTCACAATGATCCTTTGACCTGACAGTGTGACTGTCAACAGATCCTTATCAGACTTCCTCATACCATAAAAATCCCTAACCTCCACCTAAACTCAATACATCCATTACGCCATCTAAAACATTCATCTCCCACACCTCCTCCAGGATTTTAACCTCAGAATTATCAGTTTTCACCTTTAACCAACTGACAATACACCTTTAATTAAAATCAGCTGACACGATGTGGGCCTACTGCGTCTGGTAACGCCTTTCATCAAAGTCCAAACTCCATTTATCAAAGCACACTGAGCTGGGTTGAGTGTTGTTGTGTCTGAGCTACCAACCGTAACGTCGGCGCCAGGGAGGATCTGTGTGTGTGTTCATCTACAGTGAGACATCATCTGAACACCAAATGAGGGAGAATCTTTTGGAAGAAGAGTTCAGAGACTCTGAGAATTTGGTTAATTAATTTCCCAGCCCTACTAAGTACCAATATTTTCTAATGTTATGTAGCCATGGTATAGTTCAGTGTTACTGCTGACGGTTAAAAAAGAAAAGACCAAACATCGAATCAAATGTTGCCTCAGAACAAAACTAAAAGGGAAAGTGAATAAATGCAGATGTTTGAGTTTAACAGCTCATAGAGGCAGTTTCTACTTTTATTTGTCTATTTTATGGTTTTAACATACAAAATAAAAATGTTCAGATCAATTTCAGATCATGTTGGCAACATTTCAAATAAAGCATCTTGTTATTACCTAAGAAATACAAATATTTTGATTTAATTAACTGCAATGAATAAATTCAAGTCAATTAATTTATAATATAGGTGATTATACTCAGTTATATATGATGAATAATCACAATCACAAAGGAAAAATACACAATAAAAGTGGTTAGACTTCTTACAGTGGTGTGAAAAAGTG